AAGTTTTTTATTATATATACCTATCCTACAGTACCTGTCCAGGGATTTTTTTTTTTTATTCATATATACCTGTCCAGGGAGTTTCCAAGTTTATCACATATATCTATCCTACAGTACCTGTCCAGGAAGTTTCCAAGTTTTTTTTATCATATATACCTATCCCATAGTATATATACATATATCGGTGTCAGTGTAAATTACTTGTACCTGATGATAACAAAACCTTGTCGAAACATTGTACATTTGCTGTTATGTTAAATTAATGTTTTTCTTCATTACCCATTCAAGCTGTCTCCAACCATTATTATACTTAACTTTTATGGAGTTTTTCAAATTTGGTACACTGAGAGATATTTACAACATACAAATAACATCAAATTTAGTCTAAATATAAGCCACATGTGCAAAGGTATTCAACAAAAACTGCTCAATATCATCCAATAATTTTTACTACAGCTTCACTTAAAAGTGAAATATTTTTGTCATTTGGATCAAAGACGGCCGATTTAGAGCAGCAAAAGTATAGGATGAAAGCATGTGCAGATACATAAGCATTGGTTAGGCCAAGCAAACTAAAATAGTAGTTTTTAGCTGAAGTTTTCAAAATAATCTTATGGATGAATAGTTACTATTCATTGCCAACTTTGAAGTATAATTTTACTAAATTTTATGAAATTATCCTAATTAAAGAGCATTTAATGTCACATGATATTAGCTTAAACAATTATAGTAAATAATGATGCTCGATACAGCTGTACTGAGTGCATGCAGGTGATGACAAGAAACTGTTAATCTAGATTCCATGGCGTTACTATAAAGGAAGTTATTAACACTGTTTTAGAGAGAAAAACTACCACCATATATTTTAAAGAATCTGATTAATTCTGTAAAATCTGTTACGAATAATAGCATTGCGATACTGAAGCTAATGTTGGTTAGTATCAAGTGTCACTTTCTTACTTGGTGTGTATTGACAAAAAGTCATGATATTTAATCAAAAACACCTTAGGTGTGAAAAAAGGTGAACCAAAAAAGAATCAAGCACGTGATTTATAATTACTCTTGTAATGCACCCACATCTTAAGTGTGGGGATTATTTTTTAATATTACACAGATTCAAACCTGACTCATCAGCAACAAAATCCAGAGCTCTACCACAGGACCACCAACCCATATCCAGCTACAAACAAGTGACAAAACAAAGTTAACACATATGGAGTTTTTCCAGAGCTCTACCACAGGACCAACCCATATCCAGCTACAAATAAGTGACAAAACAAAATTAACACATATGGAGTTTTTCCAGAGCTCTACCACAGGACCAACCTATATCCAGCTACAAACAAGTGACAAAACAAAATTAACACATATGGGGTTTTTCAAGAGCTCTACCACAGAACCAACCTTTATCCAGCTACAAACAAGTGACAAAACAAAATTAACACATATGGAGTTTTTCCAGAGCTCTACCACAGGTCCAACCTATATCCAGCTACAAACAAATGACAAAACAAAATTAACACATATGGAGTTTTTCCAGAGCTCTACCACAGGACCAACCTATATCCAGCTACAAACAAGTGACAAAAAAAGTTAACACATATGGAGTTTTTCCAGAGCTCTACCACAGGACCAACCTATATCCAGCTACAAACAAGTGACAAAAAAAAATTAACACATATGGAGTTTTTCATCAATTTGGATGCATGATTAATACTGAAAGGAAACTTTCAATCACAAAAAAAATAAAAACTCATTTAACCATAAATTTAGATTTTGTATTCAGAGAACAAAATTAGAGAAATAAAAATGACAATAAATTTTTAGTACAAGCGTGTCTGAACATTTATTTAGTGATATCCGAGTCTTGAATCTAACTGTTTTATTTCACCTTCAAATTTACAAGCCACACTCAGGCCTTAACTTACCATAGAGTACCATTTACAGACAGTGTGCCACATATTACAAGGTTGTACAGTTTTTCCTGAATGGATATCTTCCAATATGTTAATAAAGATGACTGACCACTGCTAAATATTACAGAAATGTATGGTTTCCGATTTATCATTTCGTGGTGACCATTCCTTCAAATTTCTTTGCAATATGTAGCCAATCTGTTCAGGTTAATACCACCATGTGAATTTGTACGTTGTCTTGAGAATGTTAACACTACTCGGTTTCTAGTATTCGTAGTTTTATCACGTAGTATGTACTCTGTGATGTTTTTTAAAATGGATATTACTTCCAAATTCTTTGTAAATCATTACACAACTGTAGTTTCTTTCCAGCATGTATACTTTTGTGAATTTTTAGTTAATCATTACTTACAAACTCTACGCAACTGTATGGCTTTTACCGAGTGTGTATTCCTTGATGTATTTTAAGATGAGTAATACTTTAGGATTTCTCCCCAGTGTGTGTCCTCTGATGTCGTTTAAGATGAGTTGAAGATATAAATTGTTTCCCACACATTACACAACTATATGGTTTCTCCCCGGTATGTATTCTTTGATGTATTTTAAGATGAGTACTACATACAAACTGTTTATCACACACTAAACAGCTGTATGGTTTCTCACCAGTGTGTATTCTCTGGTGTACTTTAAGAGTACTACTACATACAAACTGTTTGTTACACACTACACAACTGTATGGTTTTTCACCAGTGTGTAATCTCCGGTGTACTTTAAGAGCAGTACTACTTCCAAATTGTTTGCAACACACTACACAACTGTATGGTTTCTCCCCAGTGTGTATCATCTGATGTATTTTTAAGTAACTATTTGTTACAAATTCTTTTCCACACACAACACAATTATAGGGTTTTTCCCCAGTGTGTGTCCGCTGATGTGTTTTAAGATGGTTACTACTTCCAAACTGTTTGCCACACACTAAACAAGTGTATGGTTTTTCTCCAGTGTGTGTCATCTCATGTGATTTAAGATGACTATTACTTCCAAACTGTTTGCCACACACTAAACATATGTATGGTTTCCTTTCTCTAGTGTGTGATCTCACATGCAAGTTGAGGTGATAACTCCCTTCAAATTCTTTGCCACACGTAACACACCTGTACACTTCACCGCCACCACTGGGACTTGCGTACCATTTTTGGTTATTTTCCATTGAACTGCTTGTCTTCTGGGATTTGCAGTTTTCTGCCTCTGTAAAGAGAGATATCTATATGTTAAAAATTGCATCCAGAAACCTGCTTCCTACAGAAGTCGAGTAAATCTTTGGACCTGCAGTGAAAATATGAACTCGCACAGATATAGAAATCAAATAAATACAAGATATATTAATTTAGGAACATTCTGAATATTTTTTTATATAGAAGTTTTTCTAAGTAAGCTTTCAGTTTGTTTGTTGAATTACATGTAAATCTACTTGAGGGCTATTATTTGGTTGAAAAAACTGAGAAATAACCACCAATGTCAACTGGAAGTAACCAAGGGAGACAAGACAAGATGATTAAAATTACTTGGTTGAAAGAACCGAGGAATAGCCACCAATGTCAACTGGAAGTAACCAAGGGAGACAAGACAAGATGATTAAAATTACTTCGTTGAAAGAACCGAGAAATAGCCACCAATGTCAACTGGAAGTAACCAAGGGAGACAAGACAAGAAGATTAAAATTATTTGGTTGAAAGAACTGAGAAATAACCACCAATGTCAACTGGAAGTAACCAAGGGAGACAAGACAAGATGATTAAAATTACTTGGTTGAAAGAACCGAGAAATAGCCACCAATGTCAACTGGAAGTAATCAAGGGAGACAAGAAGATTAAAATTACTTGCTAGTCATTTTTAAAGGATTGGTTTCCATAAGTAAGTTGAAATAAAACAATAATCAGCTCCTTCTGGTGTGCTTCTCATGAATTAGCAATACGTGTGTGGGAAAGAAAACCTGTAAAGATAATTGATGCAGGAATGTAGTTTATCTACCATAAGACAAGGAAATTAAGAGGCATGTGGTAATAAGACCTTCATCAGCAAGAGCCACAGTTACGGAAAACTGACATGATCCTAACTAAACAAACCAGAAGAAAGTGATGTCTAATAATTAGTTTCTAAAAAGTTTCTAAATTAGACAAATCATTAGGAATAGCTGTTTAATCCTGCTCTTCAACAATGAAGGTGAATAGGCTATTATGACTAGCCGATTAATCCTGCTCTTCAACAATGAAGATGAATAGGCTATTACGACTAGCCGATTTATCCTGCTCTTCAACACTGAAGGTGAATAGGCTTGAGAAAGAAAGAGTTTTTTTTTTTATATCCTCATGAGAAAAGAATTAGCATTCTGCATTGAATTGCCTGAATATCTTAATCAATAAGGATTTTCTTGCATGCCACTTGAGTAAGGCCTGAAAAGAAAGTACAGAATTTATGATACTGTTAGAAGCATATGGAACAGTAATGAATAACATTCACAGCTTATATAAAATATCCTGACACTTGTACAATAAGTCACATGGAAGAGTGGAGAACTACAGGTAAATTGGTACATGCTGTCATCACTACAAGGACATTCACAGCATATACAAGATATCCTGACACTTGTACAATAAGTCACGTGGAAGAGTGGAGAACTACAGGTAAATTGGTACATGCTGTCATCACTACAAGAACATTCACAGCATATACAAGATATCCTGACACTT